GATCTTGGTATGATGGTGGTGGTGGTGGAAAGGATAGTATGATAATAGTGATGGTGGTGGTAGTGGTGGTTAGAGTGGGATTAACAGACATACTTACCAGTGTCTGCGGGTGAGTGAGTGAGGGTCTAGATCTTTTATGCCCCGCCCTACTGGCCTTGTTGAACCTGTTACGTTTCACTTGAACGTCAACGAAACAGTTTGTGCTGCTAAAGTTAATGTTTAAGGCAGATTCGACAAAGAATTAAACCGACAACCAGAGCGCAACTCCATAGTCTCCTGTGACTGATGGATGCCTTCAACTATTCTGACGTTCAAATTCTTTTTCGAATCTGCCTTAATGCTTGGGGGGAGGGAGGTGGCTTCTACAGCATCTTCTTTCAGTGTATAAGTTATCTCTCATACCCTTAAAATTATATCCCCTTTCCGACAAAAAAAATGCTTAATAATACTTCACTTTTTTAATATATAATTTTATTTCCCTTAGCAGTTCAAAAATAAAAGCGAAATAATATTAAAATGTGTATTATCATTTCGTTTTAATGTTGATGAGGATAACTGTACTCTTTTGTTTTGCCAGATGAACTATTATTGCAAGCATTAAAACATGTAAATAGATGGAAATAAGAGTTGATATATGTATATTTTTTCCTCTAGGATATGCAAGACAATGCGTAGTCAACCCCAAGGAGAGAACAAGTGATCTTCCCAGTGAAATCAAGAAGCTGGTCGGTAAACAAGAAGTCAGGAATTTGCAGGTCGGTAAACAAGGTTTTTGTTTACATTCCCTTCCCTGTATCTCCGCCCCGTCTCCTCCTGTACCTCTCTTCTTGTTTGCGTCACACCTGTCAGCTGTGGCTCACCTGGCGAGGTCACACCTGTCACCTGTGGCTCACCTGGCGAGGTCACACCTGTCAGCTGTGGCTCACCTGGCGAGATCACACCTGTCACCTGTGGCTCACCTGGCGAGGTCACACCTGTCAGCTGTGGCTCACCTGGCGAAGTCACACCTGTCATCGAGCACTAAGGGACAGTATACCTTAGTATACCTTATACCATATACTTATACCTTAGTATAAGGGACAGTGCCCTTATACTACGGGGACTGTCTGCGTGTTAGCCGGGTACTCGTCTACTTGTACTCATCTGGTTGTGTTTGGGAGGTTGAGCTCCGGGAGGTTTCTGGGAGGTTGAGCTCCGGCTCTTTGCTCCCGCCTCTCAACTGTCAATCAACTGGTGTAAAGGTTCTTGAGGCAATTGGCCTCTTATCATATCTACATTTGAAACTGAGTATGGAGCCTGCTTCCGTGTGTGTGTGTGTGTGTGGTGTGTGTGTGTGTGTGTGTGTGTGTGTGTGTGTGTGTGTGTGTGTGTGTGTGTGTGTGTGTGTGTGCACCTATTTGTATTCACTTATTTATACATGCAGGATCGAGCTGTTTGCTATTGACTCCCGACATATCCTTCTAAATCATATCTACTGCATATATTTATCTAACACACAAACACACAGACACACACTACTCTGACACTGAAGTGTCAGAGCAGTTAACAGATGGAATGCGTTAGGAAGTGATGTGGTGGAGGCTGACTCCATACACAGTTTCAAATGTAGATATGATAGAGCCCAATAGGCTCAGGAATCTGTACACCAGTTGATTGACAGTTGAGAGGTGGGACCAAAAAGCCAGAGCTCAACCCCCGCAAGCACAAATAGGTGAGTAAAAATAGGTGAGTACTCAACCTCCCATAAGCACAACTAGGTGAGTACACACATGCATACATACATACATACATACATACATACATACATACATACATACATACATACATACATACATACAGTATATAATGATTTGTAACAACAATAATGATTTGAGAGAGCAAGGAAGAGGCGTTAACAGCGCGGTAGAGCCTAGCAGTATTGTTCTGGGATTACTAAATACAACTGTGAGCATTTGCGGTCAGCTGAATGGCCAGCAGGTCGCTGTGTGTGTGTCTGTGGTACCAACAACACGCCGCCTCCAGCCGCGGGCGTCTTCATTAGTCTATATGGTGGAGAGAGAGAGAGTGGGTGGGTTGTCAATTAGCAACTGCAGGAGGAGCTCTTGACTACTACCTTGAGGTGTTGGAGCGAGCACATGCACCCGGAAAACCTGCTTAATTGAAGCCGGCGGTGCAGGATAGTTCGTAGTGAGAGAGGCGCCCAGACGTGGGCGTTTGGTGGGTGTGGATATACGGGTGTACATGGGTGTGGGCGTAGGTGGGGTGTGGTAA